GGAGAGAGGCAAGGAGAAAGGATGTGGTATGCTCTTGCCTATTGGGTGCAATGTAGGGAGATATGGCACACCTGCTGGGTGAAGAGTTCAACTACAACTTGGACTTCACCTAACAAACGCCAACAACGTAACCTAATAGTATGTACCTATATACAAATCTAAAATAAAAAAATAAATAAGAAAATCTAAAACAAAAAAATATCATCCTACATGATCTCATTATGCACTGTTCTAGTAACTGTGGAAGATAGAATGATAAAATAAATAAATGAGAAAAATAAAGTAAACCCTGACATCAAGGTACTTGCTTTCTATAACTAAAAGCATTCACTTCAGGCTTAATTGGGGTAAAAATAACAAACGTTCAAAGATATTTTAGTATCTTAGAGCCCAATAAAAATGCACACTAATTTTTAATCTCATTAAAATTCAGAAAGACTTATCTTTACTTTAATTATTGAAAATATTTATTAATATTCTGGCAGTCATGTCTTCTAGTCCCTGGGGAAACAGTGGCGAACAAAGCAGACACAAGTCCTGCACTCATGGAGCTTGTGCTGCAGTGGGCAGACACAGGATAAGCCAATTCAAGTACAATTTAAGGTCAGGTAGAGGAAGGGCAGTGAAAAAATAAACACAGGATACAGGGATAGAGTCTGAAGGGAGGTTGCTATTTTGGGCAGGTGATCAGGGAAATCCTCTGCACAAAGTGACATTTAAGCAGAGACCAAAATGAAGGAAGGAAGTAAACTCTGCAGCTATCTGGAGAAAGAACGTTCCAGGGAGGAGCATTTTGAAGTTCTGAAGGAACAGCAAGAGGGAGAGTGATAAGGAATGAGAAATTTGTTACAAATTTCAATTTCAAATTTTTGTATTTGTTACAAATACAAAAGAAATGATTTTCTTTATAGTACTGCAATATTTGGGGTACTGTTCATAATCATGCAAATAATTGGATCATTCATGTTGCAAGTACTTTTTGTGAGTTTACAGAGGGTTCAGTGTTGGGGACAGTGATAAACAAAATCATCACTGCTTATTACAAAATACATGAAAATGCTTGACGCCTGTAGCTCAGCGGCTAGGGCACCAGCCACATACCAGGGTTGAAATCTAGCTGGCGGGACTGCCAAACAACAATGACAACTACAACTGAAAAATAGGCAGGCATTGTAGTGGGTGCCTGTAATCCCAGCTACTTGGGAGGCAGAGGCAAGAGAATTGCTTAAACCCTAGAGTTTGAGGTTGCTGTGAGCTGTGATGCCACAGCACTCTACCTAGGGCAACAGCTTGAGGCTCTGTCTCCAAAAAAAAAAACATGAAAAATTCAACTGCATGAGGAAAAGTACATGGAACGTTTAGACCAGAGGAAACAATATCTTGTTTAGGGTAGGTTCACCTGAATAGGCTACAGTTCATCTGGTAGCTGGAGGTTACCTACAAATTAACCAGATGACAAGGGGAAAAAGTATTCCAGGAAAAGGGAACAGCAAGGGCAATAGTCGTGTGGTGTGTCCAGAGAGAGCCCAGATGGAACAGCTAGGAACTGCTAAAGTCTGGTGGGAGGTAAAGGTGGAGAGGCCAGGGTACACTTGTAGCCATACTGAGGACTTAGTCTTTGCAAGAGCAACTGGATGTCACCGAAGTGTTATAAACCACTTAAAACTTTCAGAATTTTCTTATGAACTGAAGAAGTGCAGTCAGTAATTGGGCAAGCTTCATTTAGTCTCCACTTGTCCGTGTTTACCTACAGGTTTATCCTTATCCATCTAATAAAAATTTTACCAGCTTCCCTCCTAATTATCTAGTGTTATAAAATGAATGGGATCATATTGAGCAAGAGAAGCTCAAATAATTCCCATTCCAGGGCTAGATGACATTTTCCACTTTTATTATATCACAATTATTAAGTTCCATATACATTCCATAATAAACTGGCCTAAATATTGCCCAGGGCCTGTATACTCCGCAGTGCAGTGAGAGATGCTATGCAGTCTGTTCTCTGGAAATGCATTTGAAGATAGGGTGCAGTGCTGTTCTCTGGAGGTAGAGTTAGACATATAGATAAAAAACAGAAATAAGTACCATGTTTCGAGACAATTTTCCTTGAGAAAGATAACAAAAACCTCCCTAATAATGAATCACAGCTGATGAAGGAAAAAAGCTTTTACTGACCTTCTGTTTTAGCACAATTAGCCCAGCAATGTGCCCATAAACCATTTATCTAGCAGCTGCATACAGAGTAAAAAATGCTCTGAGGCATTTCCTACAGGAGTTAAGAAAAAGAACTTTCTTCCATTAAATAAATTAATTTCTGAGGAAGTAAAAACAAAGGAAAGGGCCAAATGACATGAGGACATCAAACCCTGGGAACCCTGGAGGGAAGACACCTCGGATCCACTTGCAGGCTCACAGAAGCGTCAAATGACTACAGAAAAGTTACAGAATTATAGGGCATTATAGAATGTCAGGCCTCTGGCCAGTTCTACTCACATTTCCTGCATATCTATGGCACATACTTCAAGCAATGCCCTGCTACTCTCTGCCCGAGGGCCTTCTCCCTGCCCAAGCCCAGAAGCAGGACAGAAACATCACCTCCCTCTCCCCCAAGAGCAGCCCTCAATCAAGTGCTAAGGGCTCCCACATGTCACTGAAAAAAATACATACTCTAACCTCTCACCCAGCATTTAGAGCCACTCTAAAACATCTACACTGTATCCCAGGTAAGGTTCTGTGAGCCAGGGTATTAATGTGGGCTGCTTTCCCTTCCCTGTGCCACCTCCTTACTCTTCTCCTAGTATTTTCTAAAATCACCTCCCAAATAAACATGTACTCAGCGTCTGCTTTTGGAGAATCCCAAACTAAGAAAGTAACGATATAAAATATAGGATTGAGTCCTCTTAACTCCATACTCAGTTGAGGACATCAAAAAAGAAGATAGATGGCTTGTAAGCTCAATTTCATAATAAAACCATTACACAAGGGACATTTCTAGCAACGGGGGAAGAGGGGAGATGAGAAAAGGGGGTAGAAAGAAAAGATGTTAAGCCATTCAAAAGAAAAAAGGGTTTGGCAGAAAGATAACTGGTAATGAAAGATACTGTACCTGTTAGTAAAATAATCAATCATGATATACCTACATGCGATAACATCTTATCTATATAGGCGATCCCCAGGTTGTGAACAAGATAGATTCTGTAGGTTTGCCCTTAAGTTGAACTTGTATGTAAGTTAGAACAGGTACATTTGCCACCTGTTAACCTGGAATTCCCTCCATTTATAAGTGTGAGTTGTACCTCAGTTCACATTTATAACTCGAGGATTACTTATAATGACTTCCGTCCCTGTCAGTTGTACATAAGTTGGATGTTTGTAAGTCAAGGATCGTCTGTATTGGTAGATTCAGCTTTATAAATTCTTCAGTTAATTTAAAAATTAAGAAAAATGTGATTCTGTTTTTGGACTAATAAGAAAAAAGTTTACCATGTTTTGGATTTCTTCCTATATACACCATAGGTTCTCTCTATCTGTCACACACACACAAAGCTGACACTATCACATGAAGAATTCTAAACTTAATTCACAGTCTTAGGAATAAAAATCTGACTTTACTAAGTATGACTAACCTAAATGTAAGTTTGTATTTTATTTGATTTGTCATTTTTACTGACGATCAAAATCTGATCATGACTATATGATTATACAACACTTTTATGAACATTGTTATTATTTATTAGGAAAGTACAAAGTGAAACAAAAGAAAATTAATCTAGGAGCAAGTAATGGCTGGGTCAACTTTATTGTTAAAAGATTAAGTGTAAAGATCAACTTGCAATTTTCAAGCTACATGGTACTCTGGCCACCAATCTCTTTACAACCTCTCATGAAACTAATTTAAAGAATAGCTATGGAAGAAATTTCCAGTAAAGTAAGTCGGCCTCCAAAAACAGTACTCTGAACACTCTTGTACGAAAAGACTTTGTAAAACAGGCCTGTAATTTTGCAGATAATTTCCACCCTCCCTCAAGGAGATTTATGTTTAATTTTATTTCCAGGGCTCAATTTTACGAGTATAGGCTGGATTTAAAAAGCAATTGAAAGTGTCCTGATTGCTTGACCTGATGAATCATTTTTCAGAATATGTCCCTGAAATCTGCTTTTCTACTGACTATCATATCTGTTTGCTAATTTCAACAAATTCAGACAAATGATGTGTGATTTGCAAAAGAACAGTTTCATTTCATAATAATTAATGGCTTGCAAAGGAACCTTCAAAGTATGCTGAAGAAGTTATGAGTGTCTCAATTTATCAAAATATAAACACTTGTTTACCCAAGAAGCAGCTTACTTTGTAAACATGTCTCTAAGTCTACATGTCAGTATTTATTTACTCATGCAATAAAACTTATTCAATGTCTATTATTGGGCAGGTACTAAGATACATCACAGGACACAAAAATCCTTTCCCTTAAATGTTTATAGGAAAGAGGAAAAACATCATGTATACATATAAATAGGTGCAACGAAACATTCCAAACATCATGTTGAGAAGCTCTTTTGCTAGTTCGTTCTCAGATCCATTCAAATATTACTGTACATCTATTATACATTTTTTTCTTTTTTTTTTTCTTGGCTGGGACTGGGTTTGACCCACCACCTCCAGTATATGGGGCCAGCACTCTACTCCTGGAGCCACAGGCACTGCCCAGTACACTATGAATTTTTTCAATTCATAATTTATCAAAGTAGTTCCCATTAGGGGCAGAGCTACTTTAGCAAAATATTATTTTCTGTGGTGGTTGTTTTTGTGTGTGTGTGTGTGTGTGTGTGGTGGTTGTTTTAAACACACATCATGATCCACAATTTTATTCATGTGTAATACCCAGGAAATTGAAAAAAAAACTTATTAAATAATCTTTTCCTTTGCAATCCAAGAATAAACATGAAAGCCCAAATCAGTTAAGTATCATATTTGAGAGCCTTAAAATAATTGTCCTTACCAAGAATACAGGATTGTTCCAACAACAGATGTGAGTTTACTGTTTTCTTGTTTTTGCTTTGCCAGGCCAAAGTCAGCTACAATTGACAAAACAAAGCAATATGTTATTAAGTTTTCTCGGAATTAGCATTGTTCCTTAGCTACTGGTCTTCTACATAATAACTGTTACATGTCACAACAGAAGACTTTCCTTTTTTTACCCCCGTCAAGGTGCTCCATGTGCCAATCATCCCCATCGCTCCTAGTCTTAATTAAAGGCATATATACATAGTTTGACATAGTGAGACATCATTTTTTTAAAACCTAAAATATATCTGGCTTACTGAAACATAGGACACAGTACTTGATGAACTTGTGCTTCCACTTTTTGAGTTATCCTTTGTAACTTTCAACTTAGAATGAATCGAACACATTGGCATATGGCAGTCATCACCTCATTGAGTCAAAAGAAAAGTAAGGTAAACCATGAAGAGTAAGGCAACCACGATCAAGGCCTAAACCTGAAAGTAACTGGCCTCTATTTGTACTAAGTCATGTAAATATGATATTCAGAATCATCTCAAAATATTTATACAGCAACAAAGGATTCTGATTTTTTATCATAGAACACCAAATATCTATATTTAATATTAGCACAAACTTGTATTTTTCCAAACTCCTTTTTTTCTAAATCACTCAACAACTTAGGTCAAAGTGGTGAACACAGACATTCTTCCTATCCTCTTCATACAGATGCACTGCCTTTCAAGGGGTTTAATTACCAGAATTTCACAAAAAGACAGGCTTAACCTGGGTGAGAATTCAAGCTGCTTTTCCTAATAAGGTCTGGTGTTCACAATACCACTTTGAGAAAGTGAAGCAGAAAATGTTTATGAAATCTTATTGTAATGAACTTCAATGGAGTATTTGATTATTTCTATATACTAATAAAATGCCTTTCAGGTTGAACATATTCTACGGCAGTTTCACTTGAAAATAATAAAAATTCACATTATTAATAATAGTACACATTTACTAAACAGCAGCCTAGATAAACACAAATTTAGCTTCTTCTATGAATTGCCTCATTTAATACACATAGCAACTCTGAAAGATAGATATTATTGTTAGCATAGATAGTGAGGACTTAACAGCCAGGAACTCTGTAACTAGACAGCCTCAATTCAACTCCTGGCTTTGTCATATGTAACCTAGGAACCCTGGGCAGTTTAATTTCCCTTTGCAATAGCTTTCTGATCTGTAAAATAACAATTATAATAATATAGTACCTGTATGGGAGTAAATAAATAGTATAAGGGTAACATTTAAATAATTTAATACATAGTATATGAGAGTTGCCATGTATACATTACATATGTATATATAAAAATATATGTGGTAGAGTACTGAACAACTGATGTATATTATTATTTAATCTTTACAACCACCCACTTAGTAGATGAGGAAACAAGCTCAGAGAGAATGAGTAACTTGCCCACTGTCACACAGGGAAAAATTAAAAGTCAGATACTAATCTGGGGCTACTTGATTCTAAAGCCCAAAATCTTTGTCAAAAGTTAACAGCACTACCAAGGAAAAGTCAGACCTAGATCAATTCAATGACAAATTCAACTGAAAATGTAAGAAATATATATAGAAACTCTGTATTCTGCACAAACTCTACCATGAAATAGGAGGGAACATTTCTCAACTCATTTCATAAAGCAACATTACTCTGACACTAAAGCTAGACAAATACATTACAAGAAAAAAAAAGAAAAACAACTAAAGAGCAATGTTCCCATGAACACAGACACAAAAATTATCAATAAAATATAGGTAATTCAAATCCAGTGACGCATAAAAAGGACAATAAATAATAGCCAAGTAGGGTTTATGCCAGAAATACAGGACTGATTCAGCATTTAAAAAGCCATCAATATAGTTCACAAGATTAACACACAAAAGAAGGAAAATTATATGATCATTTCAAAAGAAGGACAAAAAAGCATTTGACAAAATTCAACATTTTTTCCTTTCAGCAAAGTAGGAACTGATATGTTGTTCGTTAACATGATAAAGGGTATCTACTAAAAACTTATAGCTAACATCCTACTTAATGCTGAAGACCTGAATGTTTTCCCCTACACTTCAAAAATAAGACAAGAACATCCACCACTCCTATTCAACGTTGTACTGAAGCTCCAAACAAGTACAATATTTGCATACATGTATTTGTGTGAATGTAATTGATAATTTCCACTTGATAAATGCCTTGAAGTGAGATTACTCGATCACTTTATAAGTGCGTTTAATCTGATTTTTTAAAAATGCAAAGCCAAAATGTTTTCCAGTGTTTTCTCTTACTAGAAACATACAAGAGTTCCAATTGCTTCTGCATCCATATCAGCATTTGATGTTGTCAGTTTTGGTTTAATTAGCGATTCTAAGAGGCATACAGTGATATCTCAATACAGTTTTCATTTACATGTTCCTAATGATTATTGGTATTAAACATTTTTCATGTAATTATTTGTATTTTATTTTACTTCTGAGGTTAGGTTAGAAGGAGACTATGACATTCATTTTTGGGGTGCTCTCTCTTACTCACTGACTCTCAGAGTCTAGCCACTATTTAAAATAGTCCAGGTTATTCTGCTGCAGAGGTACATGGAAAAGAGCAGCTACAGGGAATGAAAGGACAAGTGGAAGGGAAATAAGGCACTCACTGCAGCCAGCTAGCATTCCAGCCCCGGTCAAGGCTTCAGATGCTGCAGCCCCAGCTGACAGCCTCCTCATGAGAGACTCTGAGTCAGAATCACCCAGCTAAACTGCTCCTGGATTCCCTACCCTCAGAAACTGCAAGAAAATAAATGCTTGTTGTTTTAAGTCACTTAGTTTTCGGGGAATTTGTTTTCCGTCCACTGGGTAATAACCTGAACTGCTGTTACCATGACCTCTCACTGAGGCTACTGAGCTGTACATCCTAAATGGAGTCTCTGCTTCTATCTCTCCGCCTAAAACATAATTCACCATTCCAGAGCTAAAAGGACTTTTAAAAACCTAAAGGAGATATCGCTAATTACAAGGCTAAGATTCCACAAAGCCCTCTGATTAAAAAGTACTAAGAATAAAGGCCAAACTCTTTCCAGGCCCGTAAGATCATATATGACCTGGGTTTTCAGTAATTGTTATACTATATACTATCAGTAATTGTTATACTATATACTATCTAAAATTTGCTCCTTCCTTCAACACTCTTCTATGCCATTTATTTAGTTCTTAACATCTTTCATTATCTAAAATTGCTTTCTTTATTTTTATTTATTTAGTATTTGTTTACCCAGGGTCTATTACTTCTAATTAGTATGCAAGATCCATGAGAATAAAGACTTTGTATTGCTAATCAGTGTAGATGGATGGATCTATATCATTTGATACATGTAAAGGACATACAAATATATAGACGTAAAATTATATGTATATCTAACCTCTCAACCCAGTGCTATTGACAAATAGAAAATACAGGGTGGACATAAAGTACATGTGCAATTTAAAGTACTTTAACATAGTAAATGGCACGTGAACTTTATGTCCACCCTGTATTAAAAGGCTAAGTCTTATGAAGTGTTGTTAACAGCTGCTCATAGGCTAGATGACTCACTACAACTTTTCCTTGACTCTATCATGTATTAAAGAGAATTAGTTAAAATTAAGTAGTTACTACATAGAAGGAATTGTATCTAATATTTCAATATTTTTAGGGAGCTCACTACAATTTTAGTACACATAAACTTTGACCAATTTACAACCTAAAATAATACTAGGATGTTTATTTCTAATGCTGTATAAAAATTATTTTATTTTTATCAAAATGTCATTGATTTTGAAGGCAAAAATTAAGAGGTATTACAATTATTTTACTCCAATTAATTTAGATAATGGCAGAAACTTGGACAGATGTCTGCAAAAACACAGATGGCTGAGAAGCATTCTTAAAGAGAGCAAAAACTAATACGTTTGGCCATTTGGAAGATTTTGGTAGTAATTGGAATGTTTATATTACTCTTCTCTCATTTGTGATCATATTTGGAGTAGAAGACACTGTTTTATTAGAGAAACTGTGGTCATAAAAGCATTCATGTGCTATAAGAGGTATTAAAATGACCAAAAAAAACATATACTGCGCATCAAGAAAAAAATTAAGGTAAAAAAATCTCCCCTTTGATAATCATATATAAAATGTTAAAAACTATATTTTATTTACACTGTGGACTACAGCTTTCAACCTTCAGATGGAACAGTTGTGTAGTGTCTGGTTGAGACCCTGGATTCGTGCTCTGTTATTTACTATCTCTGTGATACTGAACACATCACTCAGCTTCTCTGGTTTTTCTTTTCTTTTCTTTTTTTTTAATAAAAAAATCATATTTACTTAGAAGCATTCAGAATGTCAACAAAACAGCTGCAACTTTTTTTTTTTTGCAATTATAGAGTGGTGTTCAGTTAACAGAACAACAATTATTTCATATAAGCTGCATCAGAGACAATTGAAGATGAAAAAACTACCATCCCCATATATAACTGATTTGTTCTGTGCACCAACAAGAACCTGCTTTAAATTTCCATGCCAATTTACAACCCTTTCATACTGTACCAGGTAAGGTTAGTGGCTATTGAAAATACCACCAGGACAGGGCTATCTAAAGACACATTCGGTAGTGTGTTAACTATACAAAAAAGACACTGTACAGTTTAAAAATAAATCTTACACAGCCTTACGTTTCAATTTTTTTCTTTAAAAGGAGTAGTTGTGTGCAGGGGGGTTAAATGCTTTCTTTATAGACAAGAAAAAAAAACGGCGCTAGAAGCAACTTATTCACCATCTTTTTCTTCATCATCATCTTCATCTTCTTCATCTTCCTCCTCTTCTTCCTTCTTTTTCTTGCTTTTTTCAGGCTCGACGACTCCCATTTTCACTGCATCAGGCTTTCCTTTAGCTCGGTCTGCAGCAATATCCTTTTTGTACTGTTCCTTCAGCTTTGCAGCCTTCTTTTCCTCAGGCTGCTTGCCATCCGCAGCAGTGTTATTCCACATC